ATAAGTCATTTAAGCTTTTCAAACTATCATTTGTTTCAGCAACGATTACTGATAGTGACTAGAGCAATATCTGTCTCTTAAATTCAGTTACACTGGAACAGCCATGCCAATATCTCAAATCCTGAAGTTAAAGTGTGAACAATGTATGGCAGGCAAAGGAAGTATGAATGGAATATGTTTTTATTTTAGTTATATTGAAGTTAGTTTATGTTATGCCTTCATATCAAGCAGGGTGGCTAACATATTATAAATGGTTTATACCTATCTATGGAAAAGATTAATAAAGTAAGATGTTTAAAATTATGAATGTTTATTTTTTAATTTTAATTAATAAAAATCATATGAAAATAAAACTTTTAATTTAATGGAGAATCTGGCATATTAATGAATAATAGACTGGCTCCATCACAGGCTCATTCAGTACATATTTTATGGAATATTTTTCTGTATATTTTATAAAAACACAAACATTGCTCCAGGCCCTGAGGACTCCATAGGAAGTAAACAAATTAAGTACATGTCCATATGAAGCTTAAATTCCCTAAGGAAACCAATATATCACACCAATTGATAATAACCTCTGAGAGGTATAAGATACATCAAGGACTAGAGGCCAGTAGAAGCCCTGGAACTCAAATTTGTGCATGCAGCCTTGTGGGAGAGTGAAGGCATCCCAGGAGGAAATGTAATAATGCCTCTTTCAACAATTTCTACAGAAAGATTTATGAATTTTTAATGGAGATATTTCTCTTGTTACCAAAGGTAACCACTATAACTGCACAATAGAGTTTAGAAGCAATATAATGTCTAGATGAATGTGAAGTGACTGGCCTCAAGCTTTCTGCTTTTTTCTTGTAAACACTAGATCTGGCTTCGAATCACTTGGACTTACCACTAACTAGGTGACCAGAGATCCTACGTGGTCATGATTATATATCCCTGTCAGTGTTGGAGGAAAAGGGACACTCCAAGAGCCCCCTCTGGTGACCACTGAAAGCAAGTTTGCTTAGGCTGATCTCTGAGGTTAAATAAAGATTATTCTGAAAGCTGAAGAGCCTGCTCTCTGAGGTCAAGGAAGAGCTAAGGACAAATATGTGAGAAAGGTTACAGATTGTTCAGGTGATAGCCCGTCTGGATCCAGTGTCCACTGAGCTTTCTACATGCAGGGTCCACTCTATGGCCCATGCTCTTCTCCATGCTGATTTGTTGACTGAAATATCTTAGATTTCTTTCCATAGCAACACACTGAGAGCTGTATTATTTTCCTTATAGTAACAGCATTAGGTGCCATCCAGATGAGAAACTTAAGAAACCATTTTAGGTCCAACCACCAATGGAGAGCTGTGTGGAGATTTCTTGACCTACTAAACATAGAGCTTCCATATGATCCAGCAACTCCACTCCTAGGTATTTACCCAAAGGACACAGAAACATTAATTCAAAAGGGCACCTGCACCTCTATGTTTATAGCAGCACTATTTACAATAGCTAAGCTATGGAAACAACCCAAATGCCCAAAAATAGGTGACTGGATCAAGAAGATGTGGTACATATACACCATGGAATATTACTCAGCAATCAAAAAAGATAAACACATGCAGTTTGCAGCAACATGGATGGAGCTGGAAGGGATCATGCTCAGCGAAATAAGCCAGAAAGAAAAAGAAAAATACCAGATGGTCTCACTCATAGCAGGAATTTAGAAAATCTAAATAAGGGACCAGGGAAAAGACTAATTTCAATAAAGTAAAAATCAAAATCAACAAGCAACTATAGACCAGAAACACGCTACAGTGAGGGGAGGGGGAAGAAGAGGGATTAAGGTCGGAAAAAGGGGGTGGGAATTATATGGGGAATATAACCAAAATGAAAATGCAACATTATACAAAAATGAAGAATGATGTAAGAATTACATAAAATAAAATAATTCATAAAAACTCAAAAAACTATGTATTACAAAAATATATGAAGAAACTACTGTAAGGTATACATCAATTATTATTACTAAACAGATTATCAAGCTTATCATTGTAATATTATATTTTTTATAGAAACAGTTCTGATTCTGGATACAACTTCAAAAAAAAAGAAACCATTTTAAACAAAGGAATTTTAACAAAAAGACTAAAGGGTAAGAGTAGGTTTTGAATCCTGGAAACCACAGAAGAATAAAGAAGGTGTAGTCCTATTCCAGGTGACAAATGATTACTGTATGCATTAGAAAATGGATGTTTTGTATTAGCATGTGTATTATTATATATTACATGTTATATATGTAAATATATATTAAGGAGGTAGCACAAAAGATTTACTTCTTTATATGTATTAGTGGAAACGGAGATGAGAGAGGAGACATGGAAAGCTTCTACAGATTCTGACTTTAGTGGTTAAATGGATCATGATGCCATTTTCAATCAAATGGACAAAAGAACCCATAGATCTCTAGTCCATAGCAAGGTGTGTAAGTAGGAAGAAACGTAAGTTAGTATATAACTACATTGCGCCTCAGAATCTCCACTTTCACTCTAAAGCCACAGATAGATCCATGGTTTCACTCTAATCCTCCAAGTTATTAAGATGAAAAATTATATTTGTTGACTATATTTAAAAACAGGTTTTAGGGGAGGGGGTTCCAGTGGAGGATGGCTGGAGCTCTAGTGGGGGGTGTGGTGAAATAATATGCGATTATAGAATATAAACCTATACCCCTAAGACATATACTGTGATGTAAATCAGTATTACCTCAATAAATATATCTAAAAAATAGACATCTCAAGAATCTCTATACACAAAATAAATAAATAAATGACCCTTTTATTCAGACTTGGGAAACTAATCAAATATTCTGAAATTCTATTCTGTGTGCATATATAATAAATTATTCTCTGGACTGTCCTTTTATGTTAATAGAGCACATTTCATTGATTAGAGATTTTTTAATATTGATTGCCATCATTGCATCGCCATGACAAATTTGAGCTCAGTGATGAAATGTGACAATGATTATTGCATCTCTGATGCTCTTTTTAGAGAGAGATTTTATTTTGGGTATGTAGATTTCAAGAAATTATTGCTCCTCCACTTCTATCATTTAACATTAATCCCGGATCCTAAATTATGCAATCTCTATATACACCTAACATTATTACACCTTTTTCAGAATTAAGACCCATGTCTTTTTATTTAAGAGATTTCCTCCCTACTCACTACTTGCATTTAGAAGAACGTATATTCTGACAATTCATTTATATAATAAACAGGAACAAATTTTATTTCTAGAGAACTATTTAGGGAATACAATTTAGGAAAATGTTTCATGTTCCTGGCTGTCAATTCTTTAACAATCTAGCCATAAATATAAGCAGATTTTGCAACGTGCCTCTAACAACTATAACATTCAGGGGAATCACTCATTGTGTTTGGCACAAATCAAATTTAATAGTATCTGGATACTTCCAGGACAAAAATAAAAATGTCCTCCAAATAAAACAACATTTAAACTTAATATGTATGGTGTTCAGGAGATATTTAGCAGGATCTAGTGTCTCCAGGACATGACATGGTGCAGTCATGTGCCATGTATTCCAATAAATGATTCTCTAAAAGGCTGACTATATTTTCAGTTTTAACAGAGCAAGTTGTATTTATACGTCAAGCATGTGTGTGATGTGCATGCCCATTCACATGTTGCTAAACTTTGGAAAATGAAAATTTAAGAACATGTCACTATTGGAAAATAATAATGAGAGTTGTTATTATTAGTCTACACACACCATCCCACTGAACATTTTGGTTAAAGCATAAAATAACTATCTGAAGAACTCCTCTACTTTATTCCAGGGATTTAGAACCTCCTATGATTTAGATTTTAAAACCTAACTACCAAGATTAAAGGCACATCAAGGGTTTCTGCTGGCAATTCTTTGAATCTTTGCCATCCAGGGTAACAGCACTGGCTCAGGTGTTCACACTGGTTTTTATGCCAATAGGTAGGACACATTCTATGTGACTTTATGAAATCTTCTCCTTTATTTTATTGTTCATTTGATTCCCTTGTTTGATTCTCTGATTTGAAATCTAAACTACAAGCTAGGTGAAAAGGGAAGAGTTTTCTGTGAGAAATTGTTCACACAATAATCTTCCTCCTGAACCTTTACAGAAGGATAAAAAGAATTTCTCAAGAGGCAAATAGTAGGGGTCCAGGTTTGATTTAAGTGGATCCAGACATGTCTGGTCATGTCAGACAAACTAGTGAAACAGGTTCTCTGGCCACCTTAAACATTGGCTAGGAAACTTTAGGATTCAATCCGTTCACAGTTGATCTTCAAAGAAGCCTGACCCCAGCGATGCATTGATAGAATATGCCTAAAAGAAAACCTCTAGAAACTTCTGGGGAGAGAAAAAGTCCTGAAGCAAGAAAGAGCCAGGTGCCCAAGGAACTGAGTAACGGAGAACAACCTGAGGAGATTTCCATCAATAAGGCATCTTGTCTGTTAGTTTTGTTTAGTCTAAATATGTTCTCAAACTTCTGTAACATGGTGAACTAGAAACCTTTGTATCACATAGACCAGGTAAACACAGACCTTGGAGCTTCTTAAGTAATTTGTTTATGTTACTCACACAAGATGTTGAAATAAAACAAAGATATCAAAAGAAACCAAAATATTTATATTTTACCCAAATAATTTATTAGACAAAAGCAAAATACAAGTTGTCTATATGCTCTTGCTACAAATATAACATCATATTAATGGTAGCCAAAAAATTAAACCATAATGAGGAAGTTAAGCAGGAATGGTTATATATACTGAATTTACACTTAGATGATGGATTCTGAGGTCAGGGATGGAAGCACCAAATATTCATGGAGTAGTTCAAGCAATCATGAATAGCTGTCAACTGATTTTGGAGACAACTTGATAACGTTTTTAGAAATGAAAGCACAAGGTAGACCCGCACCTATTGGAAGGTTTGCCCCCTGCATATAATTTCAGTAGTTTTCAGTAGGAACCAGAGAATCCATATCCTCCACAGCAGGACGGGCGGCAGCAGCCATATTTGTAGCCCCCATATCCAGAGCCATATCCTCCGAATCCTCCAAAGCCAGAGCCATATCCTCCGTATCCTCCAAAGCCAGAGCCATATCCTCCATATCCTCCAAAGCCAGAGCCATATCCATAGCCTCCATAGCCACCACCACAGCTGGATTTGCAGAAGCTTCCACAGCCCTGGCCACCAAAGCCACCGAAGCCACCGAAGCCTCCGAAGCCTCCGAAGCCATAGCCGCGGCCTCCATAGTAGCTGCCATAGTAGCTCATGGTGTCAGAAGTGGAGAGTTGTTTGCTATTCAAGGCAAGAATCAGACTGCGACTGTCGACTCCTACAGGGAGGCTTATATACCCTGTTCAGAGAATGTGATACAACACGTGTGTTGTAGGGTGTCACGCCATGAATTATCCTCGCTTGACACAACTCATGAGTCTGTTGTCCTCTGACAACCCTCACAAAGAATGTTGGAACTTGCTTGGCTACCTGGTTAGGCTTCTCCTGAGCATGTTGCTTTAATTTTCTGAGAAGAAATAGTTGTTTCTTCAAAGTATTGACATAATAACCCTCAATATAATTAACATCACTTGACCTCAATCTCATTAAATATTGTTGAATTGCTGATGAAATATCTGTTCCTCACAGCCCTTTTGAAGAGTTGTTACACAATTGATTCTGCAAAATATCAAGAAAAACTCAAGGCTTTTATATTTATCAATTTCTTCAAAAAGAACTCATGTTGTAGCCTGAGAACAAAGGGTGCATCTCTTCAGAAGGTAAAAGAACACACCATATCAAGAAGACTTGGTTCACCTGCTGTGCATGCCCGAAGAAACAACAAAAGTTACCTGACTCTAGTGCCTTAGAACCATGCACAATTCATTGACTTATTCTTGGCTTTCCACTTGTTTTGGTTTAATGAGAAGACTTCCCAGGGATCTTTTTCTCATACCGCACCGTTTCCCCTAATCTCACTGCTACTACAAATGCACATTATACTCACCTCCACATCCCATTCACCCCCCTTTCTGCACTTTATCATCTATCCATGTATCTTACATTTTTTAAAATTTTACCCAACTGGGCCTCCCTGGTGGCGCAAGGGGTTAAGCATAGTACTATGAAGCTGTCCACAGCCTCTGCAGCACTGTTCGATCCCAGGCCGGCCAAGGACCTACCCCCATGGCGCAGCAGACCTCTGCTGTCTCACCCGCTGCTCCTCTCAGCAGTGTATTTCAGTAGATCCGCCTGTTCTGCTCCCCATTCAGTCTCTGATGCATCCTTTCACCCCCAGCAACTCTGGCCTGGACCCCAGTTCTTGTATGCATAAATAAATAAATTGAAAAAAAATTCACCCAACATCCTCTCTCCACAATTCATTACTGCAGCCAGATGCACCTGTGAAGCAGGTGAATAGGTTTATCCTCCAACCTAGAAGCTCAAGGCAGCACTGCTTTCCTCCCATTTACATCTCCATAATCAAAATATTACTCTTGGCCTTGTTTCCTCTTTACCTTATTTCTCCCCATTTTTTTCTCTTTAGGCAATTTCTAACCAGACTTTCCTAAGAAATGAAGTAGACCTTTTAAAGATTTTGAATAGTGTTACCGTGTAAAGCATATTCCAACTCCTAAAATCATCTAAATTTTGAAAGGACTTGCAAAACCTGCAGAAGTTAAGAAACATTTAACTATGTGATATGACAGTAAAAAAACAAACACAAACCGGAGAAAAAAGAGACAGACTTTGAATACATTGGTCTCGCTTTCAGAGTTCCTCCCAATGAGTGAGTTACTGATACCCAAAGCTGATTCCATGCCTGATTAATTCCTGAAAATGACAACCTGTCTTAAAACTTGGTACTTAAAAGTTTTGTTCTATATTTTTATAACCATATTGATAAACTTATATTTACCAGTAATATTTGAATGCATATTTTTCAATGAGTTTGTGCACTAACCTGACCCAGTGTCTAAACACAATGTAGCATTTAATTAGCTTTCAACAATATATTTTGAATGAATTATATGACTTTAACTTACATTAAAGACTTTAACTTACATTAAAGCAAAGACCAAGCACATCATTATCTGAATGACTTACTGGCTCTTCTAGAAACCTTTTAAGGCTGGATTGAAATCCAGAATCCAAGGCACTATGGTCTCAGAGTGTCATTTAACTTAACATTAACCTTCAAACTACGTCCTACACTAGTCCAACTTCATTCCATTTTTAATCCTCATTGTAGAAAATCAGCCAATTGATAAAACATGTTTTTATTTTTAGTGAATCATTTAGAATTATGAATGCTTAATGCTAAATTACATAGCATTTAGGGTTCCACACTTTCTTGTGTATGTAGCATTGTCAGAGCATGTGACCATGATTAAGGACTATTTGTTTTTGGTTTTCATTCATAAGACCATCTCTGCTTTATATATGAAAGTGAATGGGGTCAAATGAAAAACTTCAGTAACACAATAAATGCTAAATGTATTTTCAAAGAAGAAACATGACTCTGGAATGCATAACATAAATAACCATGGCTTTGACACAGAATTTAAGATTGAAAAAACATGAAACAAATCTGCTTTTCCCAAAATAAACAACTAAAAAATTCAATTGGAAATTCCTTTGGGACTTATCATTTTTCTGTCCATTCAGTGGATCAAAAACAGGTTTGGATCATTATCATTTTTAAGAAGTTTTAACTCATGATCAAAGTTTTATTCATGCTGATGGATGTTTTTACATTTTCTTTGAAGTAGAAACTTATTATAAATTCACGACATTTTCTCTCACCTGAGGTAAATCAATACAATTTTAAACAGAACACAATTATGATAATATTGTTTATGCTAAGAATGTCAAGCATAGCAATAATTGTATTGATTACTTCTTATCAACCCCATGAAACCTATCACTGGAGATATTAACCAAAGGAAAGGAAGATCAAAAATCCTATTCTAGGGCCTCCCTGGTGGCGCAAGAGGTTAAGACGCAGCACTATGGGGCAATCTGCAGTCACTGCAGCACAAGTTCAATCCCTGGCCAGCGAGGTGACCCACATGGCACAGCAGACCTCTCCTGTCTCACCTGCTGCTCCCCTCAGCAGTGTATTTCAGTAGATCTGCCCGTTCTGTTCCCTACTCTGTCTCTGGTGAATCCCTTCACCCCCACACCTCTGGCCTGTACCCCAGTTCTTGTATGCATAAACAAATAAATCTTTTAAAAAAGAGTCCCATTCTACTGAGTCAAACAACATAGCCTGATACAGAAGAGTGACTTGGGTCTATTTTGCCTTCTCATCTCTCCGAGATGCTACATGGAACTCCAAAGAAGTATTGGCTCAATGAAAGAAGTTAAGATGTATTGTGTTAATCTAGAGTTGAGTTTTAACATTGCTTATTATTTAGTTACATTCAAAAGCAGATCAATTAGAAGTTGATCGGTACCATTATGTCAATCACAACAATCACAATGTTAAAGAAGCATAGGTGTTAAACTAAGTAAAGAAATTGATGTCCATGACATCAGCAGTGATAATCAGCTTTTATGATCATGATCAAACTTTCAAAATGGTTTATTTGACAATGTTCAAGGAGAAAATAGCATCAGCATAATGTAATTTGTATTGATCATAAGCTACAACACTGTTCACTTGAAACCTATATAGAGTTATAAACCAATGTTATATAAATATTTTTTTGAAAGAGTCAGCATAATCTGGTAGAATACTAGGACTTGGCACAGTAGGGTCCTGACATGAATATAGCTACCAGGAAAAATCACATAGTCTAAGTTTCCCTGCATACAAGATTATTGAACAGCATTACCATGTTTCATTGTCTCATTCAGCTCTTGCAGTCTACAATTTATTTTTTGTTCTTAATTTACCACATTTGTCCAGTTTATACCAAATGTCACTAAGTTCAAGTTCATATCACTACTTGAAAATGCCATTAAAGAAAACCAGTATTTTTTCAGATATTTTACCTATTTTATTCCTTATTCTAACACTACCAATAAAATGGCAATTTTTGAAATGATGATGTTTTACATGAATTGAACATTACAAATTTTAAAGTTCTGAATAAGTTCTTGAATGGCAATTTTTGTCTTGAAATCACACAATGCCTGCCCCTGATGATATTTTTGTTCGTTTATTATCCTTTCTGGTTACAAATATATCACTTTAACTTCTTGGTGATGATGATAGTGAAGAACAGTGTTTCCACAGGAAGGCAGCTAAGATAGTGAATTGAACGACCAGGGTCATATTTTATTACATAGTTTGACAATGACTTTTAGGTCAGTTTTATTTTATATACACAATAAACTCAATGAAAACAGAAGATTATGTATAAAGGAAAAGTACATATAATTCAAAGATTCACAGGAAAAATAACTTTCTCTGAAAATTGAGAAATATGGGTTGGAAGACGTTTTCTCTGATTGCAGTTTCATTTATTTTTCAAATAATTTATTTTACAGTTTTAATGATATGACTAACAACTATATATAGGTATATCTAATATCACTAAATGTTATAAAATATAAAAAGAGACAGCAAAAGTTTTTGAAGGAGGCAGAGAATTAGTTCCAAATTTTGATATCCACTGAGAAACAGAAATAGGTGATCTATGTAATATGTAAAATAATCACATCTATTAAAATGCATATAGATTTAGAACTCCATAGCTGATATGTTGTTGTTGCATTTAATTCTAAAGGTTACTAGCTAAAATAGAGAAAAAGAGTAATATTCTATGTTCTGAATTACAAATGCTCAAATGAAACTTCTTTTCTATATGTTAATATATACACACACGTGCACACATCCTTGTGTGTTGCATTTCTAATTTAAAAGCAATAAGATTTGCATAAAGTACATACACATCATAGTGTTAAATGAACAAAGAAAACATTTTTTTAATTTCAAATTATGTCATTTATTGGGAATTCTGCATTACATCATCTGTTAGTGCCCCAAATCAGGAAGCCAGGACTCATGATGTAGATCAGTTGATACATTACAAATTCTCTGAAATTCTTAGATTTACTTGCTAAATGGGTCTAGAGTAATCTCTAGCCCATTGACAGAGACTGTGCTGGCAAAATCATTCATAGTAACAGATGTAGGTCAGGGACAGTAGTTCAGTAGGAGCCGGAGAAGCCATATCCTCCATATCCTCCACAGCAGGATGGGCGGCAGCAGCCACACCTGTAGCCCCCAAAGCCAGAGCCATAGCCTCCATAACCCCCAAAGCCAGAGCCATAGCCTCCATAACCCCCAAAGCCAGAGCCATAGCCTCCATAACCCCCAAAGCCAGAGCCATAGCCTCCATAACCCCCAAAGCTTCCATAACCTCCATAACCCCCATAACCTCCGTAGCCTCCACAGCCACAGCCACAGCCCCATCTGCGGAAGCTGCCACAGCCACAGCCACAGCCCAGGCCACCGAAGCCTCCATAGCCGTAGCCTTGGCCACCATAGTAGTTGCCGTAGTAGCTCATGGTGTTGGGGGTAGAGTTTGTTTAGCTGTTCAAGGCAAAATCTTCAGTGTGAATGCTGACAGCCGTACAGCTTTGCTTATATACTCTGAGCAGAAAGATATCACAAATCATGTGACCATTGTTTTGTACCATTCCAAATTACTTCAGGCAACTCATTAATCTATTTGCTGACACATGGAGAGGAGCACATTCATTAAGGTTTTGAGCTGGCTTAGCTGCCTAGCTAGAATGCCCTTGAACTCATTCATTCTCTTGTGTTTTAATGAGAACAACAACAAAAATAAATGTGACTTCAAAGTCCCAAAATAAAAATTCCCTAAATAGAATATCCCTCATTACTGAGCATATAGAGTCATTCATATTGAATGGTGCTTTCTCGTTAAATATTGTGTTTTTTTCACTTCCTCACCATTCTTTGGATTATTATATTTTACCTCCATCTAAATTCAAAGACATTGATCAAGCTTTCAATGCAAATCTATCAAATTCTTCACATGTCAAGTTTATTTCTCAAGTTGCCTACACACACACACACATGAAAACTGTTTTGATTTAATTTCTCAAATTGTTAAACAGCCAATTGGTATATCAACTGAGCAAAACTTGCTTCAGAAAAAGAAATGATCCTCAAGAATAAGCTTGTTATTATTTAATTATACTCATTGAGTTAACATTGGTTTACATTATGTTTTAAGAGTACAGGCTCACACTTCTACGCATGTGGATTATCACACCACTCCCACAACCCAGTCTAACACTCCTCCACATAGTCCATAGGACCCTCCTCTGATACACTCTGAGCCCCTTTGCTCTTTTACATATACGTATGTAAATATTAGGCCACTAGGGAGGTCCACTAATTAATTTCTATTAATATGTTAGCATGGGGGCCTCCCTGTTGGTACAAGGGGCTAAATCGCAGCACTGTGAAGCTACCCGCAGCCACTGCAGCACTAGTTTGATCCCCAGCCAGAGAGGTGACCCACATGGTGCTGCAGATGTCTCCTGACTGCCTGCTGCTCCCCTCAGCAGTCTATTTCAATCAATCCTCCTGTTCTGTTCCCTACTCCGTCTCTGGTAAATCTTTTCACACCCCCTCCCCAGCACCTCCTGGCCTGTACCCCAGTTCTTGTATGCATAAGTAAATACATCTTTAAAAAAAATGAAAACTAGCAATTAAAAAAAAATACATGTTAACCAGGGCTCTTAAAATCCTGATGCCTTGAAAATCTCCAAAAATGAATATGCAGTGGTGAAATCACTAAGGCAGGGAACAAGGATAAGATAGCAGTTGCCTTTCTTCACACTTTTCTCAACTCACTCTGAATATGGTAAACCAAACCCAAGTTTAAGTGCACTGCCAAAATTCAAATCCCACTAGAATGTGACAATATCTTGGGTTTAGTTCCTTAGAAATATGTTCACGTCATACCAGATTAAATGTGTTACTAAAGGTTTGGTTTTGTTGCTTTTTGTTGTGTTTTGAGATGTAGGTAATACTATTGATAATACATTTTCCCAACTGAATTTGTTCAGTGTTCTTCCAAATAACATACTTATTGAATGAAGGAATGATTTTGGCCTACCATAATTTGCAGTAAGTCCTAAAAAAGAATATTTATTCAAATAACTTTCAGTTTTTAAAGGAATATATAATCCAATATTTGTTTTTTTCATTTTTAATGAGTCATTTTGAAGCGAAACATCTCCAATCTAGCAAGGCTTAGTATCTCAGGAATGCTTAGGTAAATCTGCTGGATTGTTTGACTGTGGTAAGAGCTAATTTATGTTGTGACTGATGTAAGCAGCTATGCATAGGTAAGATAAAAACCCATAGAGTTAACAAACTTAGAAAATTCAACAATTAAATGTGTTGATTTATATATTTTCAAAGAAGAAAAGAGTTAACAGATATAAACATATGTACATATACATACATATTACTTTGATACCTACAAAATAAACACATATCTGCTATGTATAGATATAATATGATTAACAATAAAAAGTTGTGAAATATATGAATCAAATATTTTTTATGGGTTGAGAAGATAAACAAAGATAATTACTTTCAGACACTAATTTTGGAAACTGAGAACTGTGTATTTTGAGAATTTTTTGTTTTCCTCCTAATTCAAAAAACTCAGTGACTTGCATAATTATCTCTGTCATTCTCTTTGGGGCACTTTCACAAAGAAAACAATGGATTGATTTTGAGGCACAGATCTGGTGGTGTGTGAAATGATGAAAATATATTTTTCCACTGGTCAAAGAATAATTTTTATCTCGAAGTTAAGGACACTGCTGCTTTAAATTCAAATATAATCCTATACTCAGACACAAGTAACAATGTCTGAAGGGGGATGCTTATTCCTCTAAAACACAAACAACATTGTAAACCAATGTTACCTCAATTTAAAAAATGTAATAAAATATGCTAATGTATTTTACAAGGAATATCATAAATGTTTCTCAATCTAATGACATTGATGATTTTTTTTTTGTATTTTTAGCCCCATATGGCATGTCCATAGACCATGGAATTACTACCTCATTATCATGGGGCCACACACCTCTACCTTGCCTTCTCTGTTGACTGAAACTCTATAGCACTAGGCCAGATTGACTGAGAAGATAGTGGTAACAGATAACTGAGAAAAGTTACCTATATGTGAACTAAATACATGTGTATTTCAAATGAAGACTTTAATCTTTTGATATAGACATAGATAAAGAGATTTAGATAGGTAGATAGATCGATCTAGTATGAGTGGATGGCTGGCTGGATGTTAGGATGCATGGATGGATGGATGGATGGATGGATGGGTGGGTGGATGAGCCAATGTACAAGGTAGATAGGTGATAGCTAGCTATCTAGATGATAGCTAGCTAGCTAACTAGATGATAGATAGATAGATAGATAGATAGATAGATAGATAGATAGATAGATAGATAGATAGATAGATAGATAGAATCTTGGTAATTGGTAATGTAGCAATTAAGAGTTTTGATTCTCTGTACGAGGGAATAAAACATCACAAAAGTGGTAATGTCTCAAAGAATAGGAATCCTCCACATCCCCATAAATTCAGCTATGTTCATGGGAACTGAGCAAGACTTTGAAGATGCTCTATTTGGTTGCACAAAGGGAGAACATGCACTGAGATAGGAGGCTGCGACCCAGATTCCAAAGATGGTGGTGTAGGTCCTCTCATTGTCACTAGAACTCATCAAATACTGTAGAAGCCAATCACTTTTCTGAGCATTTTTTTAAAGATTTATTTTATTTATACAAGAACCAGGGTTCAGGCCACATGTGCGGGAGGGTGAGAGGATTCACCAGAGACAGAGCGGGGAGCAGAATAGGCAGACTGAAGAAATACACTGCTGAGGGGAGCAGCGGGTGAGACAGGAGAGGTCTGCTCTGCCATGTGGGACTCTTGTGGGCCGGCTGGGATCAAACCAGCACTGCAGAGGCTGCGGACAGCTTCTCAGCACTGCGCTCAATCACCTGCGCCTCCAGGAAGGCGCATTTTCTGAGCATTTTTTAAATCTGTAATGTGAGGCATCTGACACTACTGCCAGTGGATGCTCTAGTTTCACAAGTGTATGATGTGCTATTGGAAAAAAATCAGACATTTTTCACCAAATTAAGCAAAATATCTTAACTTTTTGTTATGAACTAGATATGTCACTTGATTTGGGAGAAAACACTATTATTTGTTTGCATATTTTTCTCATTTCATTAACAAAACACCTCTTCATGTTCATTTTGATCAGTTTTATAATAAAGCTCTTTGGGTTAACCATGGATTGAAAAAAATTTCAAACTAATGATGATGGTGAAGAAGAATAATCACTCCATAAAGAGCCAGGACAATATAGGAAAGCCAGTAAAAATTTTAGCTAAAATGTGTGGTGTTAACAACATCAAAATGAAAAAATAATTCAGTTCATTACTGACTTACAGATCAGTTACTTGGTGAAAATGCAAAAATAGCATGCAGAGGAGTGTGGTACACATATCAATTACATGAAATGCAAAAGTTGATGCAAAGTACTTTACTTTTGTAATTAGCTTAGTGGTATGGTTTGATCTCTGGCCATTCATTTAAGATTACAATAAAAATTGCATTTTAAATTAATGGTTTCATTATTAATTTTGACTGAGTTAAGAAATGTGTGTTAAATTTAATAAACACATATTTAATAAGTAATTATAGAGATATATTAAATTGACCTTACTTTCTGTTTTGACAAATCTGAATATTATTTAAATAAAGCAAGTGATTGAAAAATATTAGCAAACTAATCATTGGGAAAGTTTTTCATTTCATCTAGAATTTTTAGTTTTTTCATCTGTAACATACTCATATGTTTTTAAAATAAAAGAAAGATTTAAAGCCAAGGAGACAGTTTTCCTTATTGACTATTGAATAGAACATAACCCTCATCACCTCCAAATAACTGATTTGCATAAACAAACCAAAAAACATATTTTGTTTCCAAATTTAATGTTTTATTAGAAGTGAACATATAATCCAATCATATAAAAGCAACAACAGAGTGTTCTGTGGTTATTATGAAGATACAGGTTTAAATTGAAAATGATCTAAAATGTTGAGACATTAAATACTTTCATCAAATAATTCCAGCATGATTTTGGTTGTCCAGTTATTAAGCTCCAATTTGGGAAGTTCTTTACACTTTCATATGTTGGGTTGCAGGACAGTAGTTCAGTAGGAGCCGGAGAATCCATACCCTCCACAGCAGCATGGGCGGCAGCACCCATATCCGTAGCCCCCATAGCCAGAGCCATATCCATAACCCCCAAAGCCAGAGCCATAGCCTCCATAACCACCATAACCACCATAACCTCCATAGCCTCCATAACCCCCAAAGCCTCCATAGCCTCCACAGCCCCATCTGCGGAAGCTGCCACAGCCACAGCCACAGCCACAGCCCAGGCCACCAAAGCCTCCGTAGCCGTAGCCACGGCCTCCATAGTAGCTGCCATAGTAGCTCATGGTGTCAGGAGTGGGGAGTTTCTTGGCTGTTTAGGACAAGAGTGTGAATGTTGACATCTGCACAGGTGTCCTTTTATACCTTGATGAGATCATGATAACACACATGTCACATTTTTGTGACGTTCTTTGTGTTGCTACTACTTAACACAACCTTGGCATGTGAAGAGGCCCTCAAACTCATTAACGTGTTTGAGCTTGCATTGTTGCCTACTCATGGTGTCCCTTAAACATCGCATCCCTTTTATGAAAAGGAATTGCTGTATTGTCAGAGTTTGTGCATGCCAACCTAAATAGAATAGGTATCTTACAGAACACATTTGATAGCATTGTAGTTTAAAATTTAGTATTGCTTCATCTCTGGCTTCCTTGAATAGCTATTCTTTACTTATGATTACATGAAAGGAATTGGTTAAGTTCCAGACGCTACAATTTATCTTATCCTTTCAAAGACATCCAGTTCCTCATGGCAATGTCCCTTTTCAAGCTAAAGAAACATTTGAAAACCAGGAAACATCAGCTCACCTGCTGTGCACCAGTACAGAAATTCAGGAATAAATGTTGAAATAGAGCCATCTTTTTTCTATTATTTCACAGCATTTACCACCGTAAATAATATTTTCTTTTTTTTGTTATTGTCTATTAGTTTTGAAAATGTTAAAAATACATTTTAACATGGTGTAATATTGTTCAAATATTAAAAGTAAAGCGCAGCTATCAAAAATATTTTTTTGAAGAGAAAGCCTGTTCAAAACACCTTTTTACATCTTGTCTCCCTTTCTGACATATATATCCACTATCCAAGATGTTTCCAGAATTGCAGATTGGATCTTCTTCTGTGCCTTTATATTTCTGATTTCCTCCCTTTTCCTAATCAATATATCTGCTTTTTTATTTTATTGATTTTAAAATATTACTTTGCTTAAGTTTCTTCTTAGGGTTTGGCAGTAGATAAAAGGTAATATCTATATCTCTCTATCTCTATATAAATATATCTTTTATTCCACTCAATTTTCATCCAATTATAGCTTATAGTATTACATGTAAACCATTATCTTTACAATAATATTTTTATGGTAACATTCCGTATTTTCCCTTTGTAAGAATCAGTTATCTAGTTTCTACTAAGATATTAAATATATTTATCAAGATCTTAGATATTGAAAACATATATGTTTCAAAACCCTGTGAAATTCAGCAAAAAAACAAACAAACAAACTATTAATGCTAGAAATGTCCTCAGTATCCCAAAATTGGAGGTGTGATGTAAAAATACAGAGTGGGGGGAAAAAGAACTAATTGAAAACAAATTGACCTTCAGTTTAGTTTGTAAGTATTTAAGCACAGATACCCACAACTGACCTGACTCCTTGTTAAACCCCACCCATGTATGCCCTTATCTTTGACTAAGCTTCTGAATTCTTAACTTTATATAAACTCAAATATACTGTTCAATTATTGTTGAGTCTACAAAAAATTACAAAATTATGCATTTTCCCAACTGTACATGTTGCCTGCTGTTCAATGCAGTAGAAACTCAGTTGCATAAGTGCTGAATGGATGAAAACATTCTAAGGTCCCCAGGGGCAAGGATCTTTTATTTTGTAGACCTGGGTAGCTCTGTGAATTCTCCTGAGGACGTAAAAGAGGAATTGGTTAAAATCAATTTTTTGCTTTAAAGAAATATATAACCCATCATTTCATTTGTTCTTTTGTTGCTGTTTAAGGTCGATTGCAAAATACACAAATCTTAAAGGTACACACTGGTGACATTTTGCATACATTCATAGGCCATCTATATTACACACTTCAAATTACCCAAATTTGTTCCTTGATGCCACCAACAAATATTACTCCCTTGAAGTTCACCTGTTCTTGATGTCACATAATGGAATCATGCAGCATACTAGCACTATGTCACTCCCCCAAATTATACTATACATCACTGCCTGTGAAATACCTATTTGTTGTTGCATGTAGTATTAATCTTACTGCTTTTATTGCTACAAAGTAGTTCATTGTATGAAAAGAACTGTTAATTGTATGAATAGTTACTGTTCTGATCTTTTCTTCATAAAAGAATAGTTGGCTAGGGCCTCCCTCCTGACGTAGGGGTTAAATCTCAGTGCTATCACCATTACTGCCTGTGTTCCATCTTGGTCAGGGACCTAACTCACACAGTGCAGCAGACCTCTGCTGTCTCGCCTACTGCTCCCCTCAGCAGTGTATTTCAGTAGATCTGCCTGTTCTGCTCCCGACTCTGTCTCTGGTGAATCCTCTTATCCCCTTCACCTCTGACCTACACCCCAGTTCTTGTATGAAAAAAAAAAAGAATACTTGGTAAGTATGAATAAAGCTCCTATGTACCTTATAATTGAGATCTTTTTGTTTTATAGCCCTAGGCATTCCTTTACTTTGGGTATACCTAAGACATTAAATCAAAGTGAAGTAAGAAATCACAAGAAAATCAAGTGCTTTCAATGCACCATATTCTGCCTTTATAACTGTGCCTGATATGCATCATTTGAGTTAGAAACCTGTTGTGTTGTGTTCTCCCTAAGATAAACAATAGTTCTTCTCTGGAAATAGAGATAAGCTGGAATTACATTAAATAATGTGTCTTAGTTCCCTCAATCAATAAGAGTAGATAATAAGAAATTTTATTTCAGAACCCAAGTTTTTATTTTGTCTCTGGTACTCATATGACACCTCTTAAGTTCAAAATAGGAAAGGGTTTGCCTGGGAAGTAAATGAGAAGGTGAATAAGTGGGATGATTTCATGATTTTAGGGTGTGTTGAGAACACATCATCTTATGAACAGATGGCAGTCTTCTACAAACAATAGATTCAAAGACTACCTGGAGGCACTGCTTACACACCCACACTTCTCCAACTTGTAACCTAGATTATATTTGGGGAATAAAATATTTTGTATTTCAATTCTCCTTATACAATGTTTCATGCCCCATTAAAACAAGGTCTGAGATTTATTGCCCTGGAAAAGAAAATAAATGGTACCATCTAAAAGCAAAACAATGCACAGGGTAGAGAAAAAGGGGTCACTGATGAGGGAGGGATGAGGCATTTCTACTAGACAGGAAAAGCAAAGAGAGGTCCTCATGAAACAGCAGGGGAAATACAGAAAGAAAGCAAAAAAAAAAAAAATTAAAATTAAAAAAGAAATTCTGGAGTATTTCCCTTAAGTCCAGAAGAGATCTAGAAAATCAGTATATTCAAGACTTAGTAATATGAAAACACCACATTACACTTGGTCAAACACCTTTTCCAACAAGTTATGCTGATTATTAGTCTTCCTTATAGCTACGGAAAGTCTTTCCCCAAAATGTGGAGAAATACTATTAATCACTAGGAAAGAGAGTGGCTATTGCTGCACTCTGTCAAACTAAGCATTAACTCCCCAAGAGACAGAACCATCACTTCTCCGGTACAGTCAATATAAAGCTAACCCTTTGCACTCCGCTGTCCCCTCTCAGGGGACATCGGAATTCTAGCATATCACTCGGATGTCCCCTCTCAGGGGACATTGCAATTTATTAGTGATTTCGGGGAATTGAGGTTATTTCAATGCAACTTTTTGAGACATGCCTGTTTCCCTGAAGTTTTATCTTGAAATGGCACAAGAAATTAAATCAAAATATCGTAAAATGGTTCGGAGTGCAAAGGGCTAATGTTATCTGGCTAGAGTGGCTAGCACATAGGTCTTACTAGCTGGCTGAACAAATTTACTCTTTATTTTTCAGTGATATTATTAGCAGGTAGAATGATACCCCCATGTATCTTAGGTTTTCTGAACACTCTTTGGAAATAGTTTTTTTCAGATATGCTCACTATTTATTAATGGGGTGTTTTCTTTTTCATTGTTAAATTGTATGTTTTTTTATGTGTATTTCTTGGCTATTAACTCTTTGTTGGTCATGAAATGTGTGAATATTTTCTCTCATTCAGTAGGACATCTTTTTAGTCTACTTAGGTTTTCTTTTACTATGTAAAGGCATTTTAATTTGAGATCAACACAATTGTTTATTTATTCCTTTATTTCCCTTGCTCTGAGGGCTAAGTCTCCAAAAACATCTTTATTATTAATTTCATGAAATGTATCATCAGAAAACATATTACTGTGTTTTCTATTTTATGTTTTGTTGTTTCTGGTCTTCTACCTATGTCTTCAATCAATTTTTGTGTTTGAAGTTAAAAGATGATCCAAATGCTTTCTTTTACATGTGACTTTGTAGTTCTCCCCACAATATTTGTCAAAGAGACTCTCCTTTCCACACTGTATGATTGTGACTCCTTTAGCATTAAATATTAATATATACGTGGATTTAATTTTGACTTCTATTCCATTGATCCATGTGTCTATTTTTAATCCCAATAGCATATCATTTTAATTACTATTGCTTTGTAATATAGTTTAAAGTCAAGAAAAATAATTTCTCCATTTCTGTGTTTTCTCAGGATTTCTTTAGTAGTTATTCAACAAATCTATTCTTACATTTAGTAAATACATCTGGAGTCTTTGCATCTTGATATTTTAATAACATTTTACCTTAGAATTATTTACTAGTGTTTTTCTTTTTACAGATTCAGCTAAACTAGAGAATAGGCTCAGTATTCCAAATAAAAACTAACGCTACTAACAAAATAAGGTGGTTAATGTGGAAAGCACATCAATCCTTACAAACTTTGCATTTATATTGTTATTATATTGAAGGGATACATAACCAAAATTCAGGATTGCTTTTCTAGAGGTCCAAGAAAAGAAATGTATTGTGAAAGGGAGAATCAGAACTTAATTAAATAAATAATGAAACCATATCACCACTTCAAATTAGGAAAATTTATTGCAAAGAGAATAAAGAAAGAAACGAAAATTGAAAATACAAATAGGGCATACCAGGAGACATGAAACAGACAAACGTAAGATGATAGATATTCTTAAACTCAAAGATGCTAAATATTTTCAAAGATGGCTTGGTTCAAGT